GAAACGTGGCGTCACACTAGTCATGTGACTCGCTGACGCAACAATATTAACCTTGCGTGCATGGGTGGGGTCAAAATATGCAAGCCACAACCTTTTTTTCAGAGTGCCATTCAGCATGGAATTATGTATATGATGTCAGAATTATCAACTATTTATTTTACATAAAATTGCTGATTTAGCAACATTTTGTGGTAAAGGAAAGTATATACCAACTATAATATATAGGGATATTGAAAACACTATGGTTATGCATTTCATGGATTCAAGAAACTGGATACGCAAACTGCATTTTAAAGCTTCACATGAATATCACCTTGCACTCGACTCTGTTAGAAACCGAGTCATACTGATGTCATCAATTGCCAAACATGTTTTGAGTACAGATACTTTTATAAAACATCTAATTTTTTGTGTACAATAGGCTTGTAAATTTGAATAAAAGCTTGCTAATTTCATGTGGGTACACGTAGTAAGTTTGAAATTGTAGTAAACATTCCTTCTACAATATGGGATCAGTCCAACGGGCTAATCCCATGAACAATCGATTAATATTGTTTATGAGCGTGTACGCGGTGGTTTAAGACATTAAAGATGCTCTGGAAACAGTTCTTTCAAATGTGTGGTCAAAGATATCTCAGGATATTATAATTTTTTATTTTAAGCATGAAACATTTAATGTCAGGCTGTTCTTGCTGTTATGTGTTGATTAAACCCTGATGAAGTGAAATATTACCTTCACAATGGTAGGCTGAATGTCCAATCATTTACATTTCAGTTCACGTGACAGATCTTTTGATATCCTGATTTGCATATAAGTTAACTGAATGGGTTATTGGTATATTTTGTAATAATAGTTTTTAACTTCGTCATAATCAACACATTATAAATTTTAGTCATCCTTTTAATACTTTCTGCAGAGCATATATTGCATTCAGGTTAGGGTTTACATTGGAATTTTTCCAGTATTAATCAGAAATAATGGGAAGTTGTTTTAACACGAAAAAAAAAAATTAATGGAGAAATGATAGCAATGTTTATTTCTGAATTAGAATAGCAACTAAATGATATGTGTGAACCATCTAAAACCTGTTGTATTCAATTTGTTGTTGTCAATTTCATCTATGTTTTGAACAAGTATTTTTTTTTACTGTTATCACATGAAGTACAAATTATATATACATTGAATTGGGGTAAAAGATTTATGGATCAATAGTATATGAATATGAATCAAGAAAGACCACTGGGAAGAAAGTACTGAACTATTTGATTACAAATTGATGAATATCCAAACAATTCAACTCAATCAACATAACTGTACAGTTAAAATAAGAAGAAAAAAAAGAATTATGGAAAATGAATAATCTTGCACTTTGGGTTCCATATTGGGTCTTCAATATTTAATAAATTTTTCCAAGCAATTTCCAAGTGTTATATCTTCAGCTTATTAGTTTCTATGAAATTACCTTAAAATATGATTGAACTTTCTGCCAGATTCTGCCTTTTGCACAGACTTAAAAGCTACAGATTATTATTTTAAAATTAAAGACAAGAGGTCAATGTCCTAATAATGAATGATGCAAAGTAATCTTAAGAAAAATAATTTCATTAGATATGGTTGAATGTTCATTCATTGTTACAGTGAGTAACCAAAAGATACATCCACTCCTGTCTTAAGTTTTGATTATTGTAAAATGAAAACCAATATGAACAGCTCTTTAACTAGTCATGTTTTATTCAAAAGAAAATTTGAACAGCAATAAAACAAAATCTCTCACTTTATCCAAAGAAAGAAATTCCATATAACTTAATATTCTTTACCATAAGACATCCAATAACTCCAGATATCATTGAATCTGTTTTAACAAAGGAAACTGTATTGTAAGTATAATGTTGATAAAGAAAAACTTTTCTTTTTGTAAGCAATATAAAATGACATCACTTCGAAATGATATAAAGAACTTATCACATCAGCCTATATATTCAGAACAGCTGAACATCTTGAATGCCTATAGATTGAAAATCTTGTCCAATGCATAAAAAAAAAGAAGTTCAGTAACCCCACAAGAATAAAATGTACATTTCCAATTAAAAGATTCCTGAAAGTGTTGGGTTATCAAGTTCCTTATTTTGTAATTTATACATTTTTATTTGTAGGTCAATTCTTAATACTAACTAATGTACATTCCACTTCCAATCAGGACTACCTTGTTTAAAGTACCTCCCCAGTTATTAATATAAAGATGCTCATACAACTTCACAATTTCTTAACCAACAATTAGGTAGTAAAAAACAAATTCACCATCACAGCTATATAAACAATTATATCACAGAAAAATTAGTATTTTCTGTATACATCACAGCTTTTAATTAACTTTAATTAATTGTAAAGTGATAATGTTAAACAGTTTACATTGAAATATATTACAACATATTACAGCTAACACACCCCATAACCAATAAATGGTTTATAAAAGTTGTTTCATCTAATTTATATTTGTGTCTTTTAAAACATACTCAAGAAAAAGTTCAAATACTTTTATGAGGTTTTAATTAAAGGCATCAAACAGATCAATCTTAAATATAATAATTAAAAGCTATCTCTCTCTCTACAAATATTGTTGAAACTCTAGGAAAAAAAAAGTTCAGCATTACACACAATTATGAACCAAAATAATATTGATCCTATATGTTTTAACATACAAAGTGTTTCCTAACATTATGTCAGTAAAGATTTGATAGTAAAGTACATTTCTTAAATTAACAGAATAAGATAATAAACTTACAACCTACTCTTTGTAATTCATTTTTTTACACTGCTATATAAACTATGTGTTCGTGTAATGTTTTATTTTTCCCCCTCAGCAACAGCATACATCAAAACAAGATCTGTCTTTTAATTTCTTCTAAGTTGGTTGATGTTATCAAAACCTTTCTAATTAGTAGCATGGTCTGGGAGCCAAAACATTAGAAAAACTAGGTCTCCATGCATAGCTTTTCAACTAATAAATATTCTTTTGCACAATGATAAAATGAAATACATATAGTAAAAACTAAATTGCACTAAATTTTGTTTTCATTTTATCAAAGTATGATAAATATTCTGATAAAATATCTGTTAACTACCTTCTACTGGACACCTACCTTATCCTTCTTGTAGTTTTACAGACTTTTTTTCATTACCATTTTGATCTCTAAATGCAACAAATGGTGAAACTAGTGCTTAAACAATACCAAATACTGCATTATAACTCTTCTTTAAACATTTTTTTAAATGTTGGAGTTTTCTCTTTGAAAATTTATAAAACTACTTCATTCACAACATATATATATTATTTTTTTTACAAAATGATACCCAAAAGCTGTATAATAAATTAAAAGACCTTCTTGCTTTATTAACTTCTGGCTTTTGTTTCTCCAGTACAATGAAGAATGAGAAGAGCACTTACAATGCAACCATCTTATTGTAATTCACATATTAAAAAAACAAACAAACACAAAATAATATTGTACAAGCCACATCATAACAATTCTAATCTGACTTCGTGGTTTGCCATCCATCCTGAAGTGCCCAATTTTTGGACAGCTTTCTAAACTACAAAGAATATGAGAGAACATATCTTACTCTTGGGTGTGATTGCACCCCTTAAAATTTGACCTTTCCCAAGACATTTTACAAATTTGCACTACATTCATTATTGTTTTCATAATTTAATAAACAGATCATGTACGTAACATTCAACAAAATAAATATTTTTTTTATGACAAATAGATTGAAAATACAATTTATCCTGTGATAGATTGCAAACTGAAGACACCCAGAAAAAATGCCCAGAGTCAAAATAAGGCTCTTTAAAGTCTACAAGCACAATCACATGCCTCAACAACAAAATAATGGCTTTACTGTGTATGTGTGTGAGTGTGTATATATATATATCTATGTATACATATAAAGACAAAACGTGTATTTGTTTGCACCCTAACTCCTCCGAGCCTATTGGGCCAATATCAATTCAAAATTTGTATGTAAACACTGTGAACTATGGGAAATGTCCTAAGGGGACAAAATTGAACTTATCCTTATTTATATTTTGCAAAGCCTGTTGGTTAATTACTCCTAGCCTATTGAGTCAATCTCAAACAATCTTAACAGGTTGACACTTTAGACAATGTTGAATATTCTAAAGGGATTCAAGGTCAAAGTATGAAAGTTTGGGACTGTTTTTCAAACAACCATGCTTTTCTTATAGTCACTGGGGATGTAGGGTGTTCAAGGGTGGATCACCTCAAAATCTTTATTTGTTGGTAGATGGAAAGCAAATTGCAAATGGTGTTTTTAAAGACGCTTTGTTAAAAATTTGAGATAAACTTTATGTTAAAGTTATTACTCTCAAGTATATGATTGCTGTTAAACATACATTGTTTTAATTAAGTTTAAACATTTCCCATCAGTTGATGGGTATTTCAACTCGTGTGTGTGTGTGTATATATGTATATACACACACACACACACACACACACACACACAAGAATAGTCTTCCTCATCAGTAATTTTAGAACCACAGAATTAACTCTCCACTTAATACCTGATAAACCTATCTAGTCTGCAAATGTTCCCAAACCTGATTTACAGCAACTGGTGATAAATCCAGGTTTGATAACTATGTGATACTCTATTAAGTTTATTGTTTTTACAAGCAAAAAAGATTATGAGGTATATTTAAAAGAATCTATAAAAAGCTGATATACAATGTGCATTGAAGATGTCTATATGTATTTTAAAATATTCAAAACTCACATGCTCAACACACCTGAACAAAAGATAGAGAAACAACAAGTGTTGAAAAAGCTATTTACAAAGACCTGTTATTAGGGTTCCTTCTGTTAATACTTCCTCAATTGTATCGATAAACTAAGAAAAAATGAAGGAATATACTTTACAAAATGAGTTAACTCTGTCCCTACTCAACGTACCTTTCAAAGAATTTAATAGTTAACCATATACAATTTTTATACATCCTAAAAAGAATCAATGACAAAAGAGAAAATTACATCAACTAAATAATTCACTTTGAATATACCAAACAGATTATATGACAGTGTTTTATGCTAGCTAACAGAGGATCTTTTTGTGAATTCTCAGTATGAAAACATTATCTAATAAATCATTTCACACAACTCACTTCAATAAAAATAAGGCAAAATTAAAAAATGACTTGCTCACCATCTCATGATGAACCTATAAAAATTGGTCCAACTTAAATATTTCACTGACACACTTGATTTAATCAGGTTAGAAGCTTTATATGTCTATGCACTAGATGGCTAATTGAGACATCACCCTGTTTTAGTTGATGATTCTGCTACTGTGTGACATTTTCTACAACAAAGAGTGTATGATTACATTGTAATATATTACAGACAGTTTATGTAAGTTAGTCTTTCAGATTCACAATATTCAAATATTCTGTTGTAACTACTGCTATGTTATAGTTTACAATAATGTTTGGCTTAAAACTCCTATCATTACTCTAGTTATTATACACATAATGTAAATGCAACAATATGCAATATTACCAGACTAATTAGATTGACAATTGCTGCAATAACTTGCAGTCAACTATTTTCAGATATGTGGTGGAAAAAAACATTTGATTACTTAAAATTAAAAAGTGAAATTAAAAACTCAACAGATTTTTAAAAAGTGGAACTGAAATACAAGATAAAGTTGGAACAGTTTTGTCCCTTGTTTAGAAATATGCTAAACGATGAAGAATTTCTTTCCAAATTGCATGCATTTGTCAGAATGCAATATATGAAGTACTTACACAGTAAATGCTAACCACTGTTGAATAACTCCCTCTGGTGGGTGTATGTGATACCATTTTGGTGGCTTATTGCTGTGTATAATTCATTATGTTTACAGACTTCTGTACATTTTTAACCTCATAAACACAAAGCATTCTTGCGTCTTTTATTAAAGTTTGAAGAATATGAGCAAATTCATAGTTTCATGATTGAATTGGTTGTCCTTAAGTATGGGGAACAGGAGGTTATTTTTAGAACACATGTGGAAAGCTTCTGCTACAAAATACTGTAATAAAACATTTGTCAGATATTCAATGTCTGAATATTTCTATGATTAAACAATTTTATTTGGCTGTAGAAAAAAAAGAAGAATCATTGAGTGACTAAAATATACTGTAGCAAGATAAACACAAATGTATATATTCAGCAAAATAATAAATACAAAATCCCTATTTATCTTCCTAACTCTGTGACGGTGAGTCAAGTGACACTGACAGCAAACAAACATTTGCATGTGTGGTCTAACAATTTCTATATACATATAGAAAGTCATTCAATACTTTGAAGTGAAGTTTTATAAATGCTTCCACAAAAATGTTAAATCATTCCTAACCATTTAATTTTTGTAACATTAAGAACAGTAGCAAAAAAAAAGGGTACTGTGAAATAATAGTTGGCTTAAGATAATAAAACATCTTTAATGTCGAAATACTGAAAATTTTTTTAGCTATAAATATTACTTAAAACAATTACTATGTTAAGCTAAAAATAATAATACAAGGCTTTTATTCGAAGCCTGGAAAGTTTCTTGTATTTATACAAAAATCTTTCAAAAAATAATCAAAAATACTACAAATGTTCTAGAACAGGGGTTCCTACATTTTCTTTAGCTTAAGCCTCCCCTCTAGATCTTGAACACCTTGGTTGAAGATTCCCACTTAATGATTTTGTAGAAATTTTGAATAATAGCCACTCTTGGATACCTTACTTATTTTCATTGCAATTTAATATTTATGAAAGAAAAATCTTAAGCATAACAAGCATTGTGTAGACTTATTTAATGCAATAATGAAAATTCTTGCTAAATATATTGCATAATCCAGCATTAGGGAAGTAGTAAATAGAATATTTTTTACATGTGTCAAGGCTACTCCAAGATAAATTCTCAGAGCCCATTTAGGAACCTACCATTTTACATAGTCATATATTCCTAAATTAACAAAAATAATATGTGACTTGTTTGAGGCAAAAAAAAAACTTACAGATAAAACAAGAAACTAGGACATTTTCCCACAAATCCACTCATGTTTTTGTTTCTGATAATTAAAGTTTCTGCATATATAAATCACTCAGCAATAGTACATAATATTAATGTTATTATAATTACTCAACTTCTAGTTTTATTCAGTAATGTTGAATCTAATTAGTTTCATAAAGTAACTCAGATATAACTTAAACCTAACTTATGAATGTTAATAAATTCCGTTTGTTAGAATTACTTAAACACAAGTCACTGCGAACATAGTATTTAACTTGACCTAACAGGTGTGGGTGTAATTCATGTTTAAAATATCTGAAGTCTCACAGATACCCAATACTTAGCAGTCTATAATTTCTACTTAATAAACAGTGACCAAACTCAGCAAGATAACTGCTTAAAACGTTTCCACATTTTCTTTATATATATATTACAAATTGGAAAACCTATCAGACACTTCAGGAAATATTTCAGACTTTCTCTGTTTTTATCCCCCACAGCATCCTGTCCTTTGTTCCTGAGATTCATCTTCAATAATCACAACATTCCTTCTGGGATTACTACCATGACCAAAGCTGTTGGCTCGATGTTCATCTATACTTTCAGCAACTTCTATCATCCCTATAAATACAAGTATGTGTATATACGGACAGACATCCAGAGAGATGTGTTTTTATACATTTATACACAAACAATCCTTTATTTTTTACACATTTCTCTTTGAGGTTATTTTTTTCATAGTACACTAAAACAGCAATTTGGTTTAGCAAAAATTAAATGAATATATTAAATTATGACAGGTTTGAGTGCCAGACTATTGATATTATCTTATTACACAAAATAACTGAACAATAAAAGAACTACAACTGTCAAAATTGTTTGGTATATAAGTTATTACCCACCAACTAAGAAGGTTACTTGCATTTCAAAGTGCAAGTTATAGTAACTCATTTAGCTCACATTCTGTTAATCACACTTTAAAAAGTTACCTCTTTAGCATATACCACTACTAAAGTACACTGCTAAAAGCACAGAATGTATGTGATTAGTATTGAAATTTCATGTAAACAAATGTTTTGTAGGCTTTTATAATTTCTCCATTTTGACACCAACAAATAAACAACAGCATTAAAAAACAGTTAATTGTGCCCTAAATAAAATATTGAAGTCATATGTGATTAAAGAATTACCCCATTTGGCATATCAAGCATTTTCTGTTGTCAAAACAATTAGATATGTATTGCAATACATATTTTTCACTATTACACATCAATATGCTTCACTACGCATGATTAAATAACTTAAAGTTCTGGATTAAAATTTCTACAGGAAATAAGACAAACTGCTGACTATGTAAAGCAGTGGAAAACTGAGTAAAAAGCAGAGCAAACACTGATGTTTTGATCACTGTTCACACCAGATACCACAACATCATTCTAATCACTGTTCACACCAGATACCACCACAACATCATTTTAATCACTGTTCACACCAGATACCACCACAACATCATTTTAATCACTGTTCACACCAGATACCACCACAACATCATTTTAATCACTGTTCACACCAGATACCACCACA